AAGATCTTTTCCCATTCTGTAGGCTGTCACATTATTTGTAATAGCCAGAACCTGGAAACAACCTAGATGCCTCTCAATCGAAGAATGGATAAAGAAAATATGGTACATATACATAATATTATTCAGCTGTAAAAACAATGACATCAAGAAATTTGCAGGCAAATGAATGGAACTAGAAAATATCATCCTGAGTGAGGTAAACCAGAATCAGAAAAACAAACATGGTATGTACTCACTCATAAGTGGATACTAGATGTAAAGCAAAGGATAATCAGACTACAACCCACAGCTCCAGAGAAGCTAGGAAACAGAGGATCCTAAGTGGGATCCATGGATCACTTTGGGGAAGAGAAATAGATGAGATCTCCATGAGTAAACTGGGGGGAGGGGGAGAATAAAGGGGAGGGGATGGGGAATGAGAATATGAGGGAACCATGAGGGAATGGGATGGTTGAGCTGGGGGAGGGATGGAGCAAGAGAGCAATAAAAGAGATCTCTTGATAAAAGGAGACATTATGGGGTAAGTGAGAAACCTGGTGCTAGAGAAATTCCTAGGAATCCACAAGGATGACCCCAGAGTAGACTACTAGCAATAGTGAAGAGGGTGCTTGAACTGCCTTACCCCTATAATCAGATTGGTGAATACCCTACCTGTCATCATAGAGCCTTCATCCAGTGACTGATGGAAGCAGATGCAGAGATCCACAGCCAAGCACCAGGCTGAGCTCCAGGAGCCTAGTCAAAGAGAGGGGTGAGGGATTATATGAGCAAGGGGGGGTCAAGATCATGACTTTGGACTGACAGCTGTGGAGCCTGCAGGGGACTGGGCTGGGCCCTCTGCATGGGCAAGACAGTTGTGCAGCTTGGTCTGTTTGAGGGGCCCCTGACAGTGAGAATAGGATCTATCCCTGGTACATGAGCTGGCTTTTTGGAGCCCATTACCTATGGTGGGATGCCTTGCTCAGCTTTGATGAAGGGGGAGGGGCTTGGCCCTGCCTCAACTGAATGTACCAGGCTTTGCTGACTCACTGTGGGAGGCTTTACCCTTTTGGAGTAAGGGATGGAGGCTGACCTGGCAGAGAGAAGGCTGGGGAGAGAGCAGAAGGAGGGATGAAGGGGATTGGTATGTAAAATGAATTTTAAAAAAGGTATGCATACACTTATGTCATAAGAAATTTTAAAACTTTAACTATACCTATAGATGGCCAGGAACACGTGATAAAGGATATCATTATCTAAAATGACATTTTTAGGAACATTTACCCAAGCCAAGAATATGAAATTATGAGATATTTCTAAATAAAATTAAAGTCATAGAAAAATGGAAAACTATCTTGTTTTTAAGTACTGACAGAATTAACCTTACTAAAATTCCATACTACTAAAAGTTATTGGTACATTTATGATTTCATGGTTCCATATGAATTCTCAGGTTGTTTTTTTCTATTTCCCTAAACAATTAATATATAAATAACTCAGCAAGACAATTCAGAGTGAGAAGAAAATCTATACAAAGAAAAATATAGATACATCAGGTACACAGTTGTTAATTAAATTTATATGGAACACTATAAGTAAAAGGTAAAATGAAAAGAACCTGAATTAAAATGAGCAGAGAATTAGAATGTCTATTCACAAAAGAAAACAAATAGAACACACATATCTAAGATTCATGATAGCTGTGGATAGTAGACAGTTTTCCTACGTTTCTCAGTCATTCCTGTTTTGTCTTTGGAGAACTCTATTTAGTTCCATTGCCAGATTTTTGTTTTGGTTTGGTTTGGTTTTGGTTTTTCAAGACAAGGTTTCTCTGTGTAGTTTTGGTGCCTGTCCTGGATATCGCTCTGTAGACCTTGCTGATTCACAAAGATCCGCCTGGCTCTGCCTCCTGAGTGCTGGGATTAAAGGTGTATGCCATCACTACCCAGCCTCCGTTGCCAGATTTTTAACTATGTTGTTTGTTTTCTTGATGTTTGGTTTTTCAGTTGTATGTATACTATAGATAATAACTTTCTGTCAGATACATAGCTGCTAAAGATTATTTTCCCATTTCATAGGCTTCCTTTCCACTTTAATGACGGTGCCCTTTGCCGTGCAGAAGCTTTTTAGATTCACGGGTCACATTTATTAACCATTGGTCTTGATGTCTGTGCTACTGTGATTCTGTTCAGAAAGCCCTCTCCTGTGCTAATGAGTCTGCATGCATTCTCCACTTTCTCCTCTATGGGTAGAAAATTAGTAAGAGGACATGGGGTAGGCCTGCAATGGGTGGGCCAGAGTGTGGGTCTGTAATGGACTAAGGGGGACTACTGATACAGGCAGATTTTAATGTGAATGAGAGCAGAGGGTAGAACACAGGGAAGGATAGCAAACACCAAGGGTATTTCAAGAAGTCAGATGGAAACGGACTACCTGGGGAAGACTCCTAAAATACACACACACACACACACACACACACACACACACACACACACACAGTTTAAATGGAGTTACCTTACCACAGGGCAACAATGCCCTTTCTGGATATCACAGGACAATAAGCAAAAAGCCCAATTCCAGGAACGTGTTTCCTCTCTTGGAGTTGTTAGGAAGTGAGGCCGCATAGACCAGCAAGCATTGTAGGTTATTGCCAATGCTTTTGGTCAAGCCCAGAACTCGACAGTCAGACTCTACTGTTGAAGACACCAAACACTTGAGTTAGAACTTGGAGAAATCAGCCTGGTCCCCACCGGGAAGCTTCATCACTATTAGCCTGCCTTCACAATGCTCATGGAGGAGAAACGGAATCAGAAATCTTTCCCAATTTTGAACCAAACCTGTGAACTGCAAGAATTACTGGCCTGCAAAGACAAGTTCACTGATGCAGTAGTTCATAAACATCAGGGCAGTAGCCAGCCACTTTCTGACTGCATTTCAGTCCTGCTTCCCAAGATGAAACACATGCCTGACACTGTTATTGGGCTAAAAACTTGTGGCTAAATGGGTCATAGGCCCAAAATAAGAACAGAACTGAGTACTGTATTATCACTCTGTTAAATGATATTAAGTTGACTCTCCAAAACATCATTATACTCATAAATTAGTGTATCTCTAAACTCTTGTCAGAGAAGATTCTTTTGATGGTAGATAACAACACAGAGATCCACAAGTGGTCAAGGAATATCAGATAACATGCTACAGAATGCACCATTCTAAGTAGGACCTCTATATTATATATTTTCCTCCCCCCCCACCAAGGTTCAAGGATCACTGTGGAAAGAATAGAAAGATTCTTAGAAGCTAAAATTTGTAGATGACTAAGAGGAAACCCTGTTTTCTGGACATAGCAGAATAGCTGCACCTATCAGTCCATTACAGTTGAGACAGGATAGACAAAATACCTATGTGCCTGACAAAATCTCATCACAGAAAGGGGAAGTTGGCAGAAGGGTTCTACCTCCACATGAGGAACTATTTGCAGTCGATAGCTGCTAGCATCAGGAGAGTCAGATTTCTTTAAGGGTACAGCCCATTCACCCTTCAGTGAGGCCCATAGAACCGTGACTATATGGGCAGCATACACTAAACTTAATGAATTTTTTTTAAAAGCTGGATTGGGAGAGGAGGGAAGACTAGATGTGGGAAAAATAGGGGAATGACTGTGATCAAAATATATTGCATGAAATTCACATAGAACTAATAAAAAGGTGGAAATAGCCTTGTGAGTGACACCAGCTGACTTCTCATATTGAAATGGCTACAGAGGGAAAATGGATGGTAGAGAACATGGAGGATAAAAGGAACTCTGGACACTGTTGGGAATGTGCATGACAGCCATTGCAGAAAACATTGGTATAGACTACTCTCAAAATGGTCGTAGAACTTACTTATTGTCCTTCTGAAAATTTAACTGACAAAAGAATTTGGTCTCAAATATAGGTCTGTGACTACCGAATTCATTGTGATGTTTCTCATGATAGAAAAGATGTGGATTTAATGACTCTTAGTGGCTTATCATTATACCTGTAGATCAGTATATGTCTCATCACAAAAGCACTTTTCAGAAGATGCTGATTAACACAGAGACCCACAAATGATCACAGTACAGAAAATAAGAGATTAGGGAATGCCTATTCCTAAACAGGATGTGTATTTCACAGCCTGTCTTCTCAAGTACCAGAGAGCATTGAAGATGAAAAGCAATAGAAATATTGTAAGAGTCATAAACTGGTGACTGAGTGTTAGGAAATAGTGTTGGCTGGACAAGGCTGGACATGGTGCATGTGAACTCACAGCAGCTGAGACAGTGTTCACAAGCCTGACAGAATTCCAACATGGAAATAGAAGTGGGCATGAGTTCCCACACCCAGCTAGGGAGCTATTGATAGCTGATGATTTCTGGAGAAGGAGAAACCTTCTTTAAGGTTGCAGTCTTTGGTAGGTAGAACAAGCTGTAGTGGATGGCCATCTATTCAAGAGTATGTGGGCAGCACAAATTGTATTTGATCTTTTGCTTGGTTTTTAGGGTTTTTGTTTTGATTTGTTTGTTCTTAAAAAGTACACAAAGTTAGCTGAGTAGTGAAAGGGGTGTGGACTTGGGAGCAGAAAGGCCAGGGGTGGATATGACTAAATTATATCACATGGAATACTAAAAAATAACTAATGAAAATGAGAACAAAACTAAATTTTAAAAAGTGGAGGAGATGATACTTCAACCTCAGTTTTACTTAATGGAAAAATCAAATTTATTTACTTATAAATAAAAACCAATTTTATATCATTTAATAAAAAAGAAAGGCTATGAGAACAACCCAAATGTGTATCAATAGATGAATGTTTAAAAGAAATGTCTCCCTTTGCTTCTCCTGCTCCTGCATTCTTTATCTCCTCCTTTGCCCTCTCCTACTTCTCTGTCATTCATCCACAAACAACTACACAAATGTGTCAAAGTAGACGCAAAAACTCAAGCATATGTCTGAAAATGATGGAGACTTTTAAATACACAAAAATATTCTCTATTAAATAGTTTATTGAAAAGCATGTATTTTTACACACAAGTTGAGAGTCCAACTGGCTCACATTTTATGAGGTGTTTTGTAGACAATGAAGAACTCTACAAGCTGTCATCTAGTCCAACTGAGGGTGAGAAGTAATACAAGAGTATTGTATTTAATTTGGTTTTACTCAGACAGCTTAGTATAATGGGAAATTTGAAGTTAGGAATTTCTGATGTGAGGAAACTTGTAGAAACTTCCAGTAAGACTGCAGATTACAGCCAATAGGCTGGACAGCTGTAGAAAATTATCAATAGAAGCCATAAGACCAGTATCTCCTACAGCAGAGTGGGCGGCAGCAACCATAACCACCATAGCCACTGTAGTTACCATAGCCACCATAGCCACAGCCATAGCCACAGCCGTAACCATAGCCTAGGCCACCATAACCATAGCCCAGGCCTCCATAGTATCCGCCATAGTAACACATGGTGTCAGTAAGTGGGAATGAATTACTGGTGTTCAGTTGAAGACAACAGTAAGTTCCTTGAGTCTGGATGTCACCATTCAGCAGCAGCCTTTTATACACCTGGGTTGTTGTTGGCAAAACCACAGGCATTGCAACATCACATGTCTCCTCTGTGCTTCAGAAAACATCATGAATTGTGATTTATTAGTACACAAAGCTGCATAACTGACATAATTATGTCCCTACATCGGGATGCCATGGCCAAATTGTACGTCCCGATTCAGTTGTTAGAACTCTGAGCCATTCTTTGTTTTGTTGAGTGAATACATGGTATAATTCTGACAGCTAACATAAATCATTAGTTTTCTGTTTTCTCCATTTTATACTTGTTTGATTTTCATTACCACATAGAAGGAAGGTCTGTGTGTTTTTCTTTCATGTTATTTTGTTTTGTTATTTGACAACAGTCTTACCTGGAAGAGTACATTTCTGTCATTTTCCCCATGAACAGTGAGTTAACTTGGTTATGTTACTGGTTACATTATTTGTGACTTGGTGGCAAGTGTTAACATATTTGGATATATTCCTGACCACATTGTTTTCCCACATATTGTTTTAAAATCATCAGTAAATAAAATACCACTTGTGTGGAAACTGTATGTGCTCTATGTTTCTTTCTGTGAGCCCGTGCAATGAATTTGAAGATGTCACTTTGAAATGTACTATGATTGTGTGGGTAATCCCAAGTCAGCTTGGGTTACTAATGTATGACTGTTTTGTTAGAAGGGCATACAAGTGTTCTCACACATAGCTTTACAAGAGAGCAGTGACATCACCTATCAGTTTACAGATAGCTGGAAAGATATTTCGGTAGATGAGAGTACCTGCCATGAAAGCATAAGCAACTTGGTTCAAGTCCCCTGAACCCACATGAGAAACTTCATACTGTGCCATCAGTGACATAGGGTTAAGAAGCAAAAACAAACAAACAAATAAAGGTTGTTAAACGTGAAAAAAAGAAGCAGGAGGATTTCTAAGGCTTGCTGGATGCTAGGAAAGCTCCATATGCAGGGAGAGAACCCATCTCATTGTAATAAATTTTGTTGAGAGAGAACAGGGCAGACAATTTCTTCCCTCGCCTCTATACATATTCACCCAACCAACCACTTATATATGTATGCCTACTAAAAGCGTACGTGCACACACACACACACACACACACACACACACACACACACACACACACACACACAAAACATCACCTTCTATGGGTATGCTTCGGTGATGGGACCTTTGCCTTGTGTGCACAAAACATCAGAAACAATCCTGAAAATTGTCCCCTCTAAAGAACAATTGTTCAGACTCCTTAAGATTGATCAAATAAGCCACATGCACTTTCTTTGTGCCAGTTTGTAGGTGAAGGCTGGAGTATTTCTATTAATGATGCAAAGCCTTTATTGGAAGGCATGGTTTTGTTTGGTTTGAACATTTTATAAATTTATCAAAATATATACTGTATAAAATAAAACATATCTAGTAAACATGTTGAGTTCAGGGAGTATAACAGTGAAAGAAACAAATATATGTAAATGAGGTAACATCATGATAAATACATCTTTTGGATGATTTCATGAGTAGACAATTTCCCTCTGATTTTACAGCGCCTAACTTGAAATTCTTTGGACCCACAAACACTTCCAGTGATATAATTATGATCATTATATAACAAACCAGTCTTGCATATCTAGAAAGAGCCTTATATAAAACCAAAAAGTATATGAAAATAAAATTTTAAATGAAAGGAATAAAAGTAAGCTTCAATCCACAGAACTTGTATAAAATTACCTGGAATATACCAAATTAAACTTACATATATGAACAATCAAAGTTAACATTCAGAAGTGAGAGAAAACACATGACATTTGACTTTCTGGGTCTGGGTCACCTCACTCAGAATGAATTTTTCAACTCTATTTATCTGAAAATCACATAATTACATTTTCTTAACAACTAAATAATATCACATTGAGTAAATATAACGTGTTGCATTATGCATTCATCTGTAGATGGACATCTAGGCTGCTCCCATATCTTGGATGTATGTGAATAGGGCAGCAATGAATATGAATATGAATAAGCAGGTAATTTTGTAGTAAGATGTAGATTCCTTTGCATACAGCCAAGCCTAGTATACCTGGATCATGTAGCAGATCTCTTTCTAGACTTTGAGGAACCTCCATATTGATTTCTATAGTGGCTGAGCCAGTTTGCACTCCCATGAGCAACAAATCAGTGTTTTCTTTTTCTAACTCCACATCAGCACTTGCAGTCAATTGTGTTTTCCATCTTAGCCATTCTAACTGGAGTAAGAAGAAATTTCAAGATAATATTCATTTGCATTTCTCTGAATGGTTAATGATGCTGAACAGTTTTAAAATGTTTCTCATGCATTTATAGTTCATCATTTGGGATATGTTTGTTTAGTTCCACATCCTATTTTATAATTGAGTAGTTTGTTTTCTTGATGTTCAGGTTTTTTGAGGTCTTTGTATATTTTAGATACTAGGCATCTATTGGAAGTATAACCATTAAAGATTTTTCCATTATATGGGATGCTTCTTCATTCAAATAATGATGTCTTTTGCTGTACAGAAGCTTTAGTTTTGAGAGTTCCCATTTGTCGGTTGTTGGTTTTAACAACTGTGCTTCTTGGATTTCTAGTCTGAAAGTCTTTCCCTGTGCCAATGAGTTCTAGTGCTTTGCCTACTTTCTTCTCTATCAGGTTGCATTATCAATGTGTCTACTGTTATGCCAACACCAGGCCATTCTTATTGTTATAGATCTTTAGAGGTCAGGAAATTACTAAGAGGACATGTAGGGGGCAGGGCTTTGAAGAGAGTAAAGTGGAATGGATTAATATAAAAGTGTAAGGCAGAAAAGTAGATTGGGAATGGGGGGCAGGAGGGCATCAAGGAGGAGGAACTAAAGGTAAAACACTACAGGCTAAGAAATAAGAGGCCTTGTGCCAACAATGGGTTAGCCTTTCTGTAATTGTTAGCTATAAAGATCCCATAGACACCCCCAAAATGACAGACTTTTGCCAGTCATCTTGTTTAGCTTCTAAGACTTGATGGTAAGATCTGATTGCTGAAGACAGCAAATTCGTGAGTCATAGAACATGGAAAGATCAGTCAGGTAATTACATGGAAGTGTTAGGCCCTACTAGCTAGTTTCCAAAGTTGTGGAAAATTCTATGTATGCTACATAAGGGGGAAAGTAGCAATGTGTCTTATGTAGCTGTAAACCCTGCAAGCCACAGTAACATCTGGCCTGGAAAGACACACCCACTTGTTCAATAGTAGGAACAGCATGGGAATCAGGGACCAGTTAAGTGGATGTAGGGCACTCTTTATTTATTTTTTTTTATTTTTTATTTTATTTATTTATTTATTTATTTATTTATTTATTTATTTATTATTTTTTGCTTTTCGAGACAGGGTTTCGCTGTGTAGCTTTGCGCCTTTCCTGGAGCTCACTTGGTAGCCCAGGCTGGCCTCGAACTCACAGAGATCCGCCTGGCTCTGCCTCCCGAGTGCTGGGATTAAAGGCGTGCGCCACCAACGCCCGGCGTAGGGCACTCTTTATAATATGAAATTCATACTTGGTACCATTCTCAGGCCAAGAACCTATGGCTGGACATGTGTTTGGACCTAGAGGAAACCTGCTATTGATATGCTGCTAAATGAACACAATATTAAAGACTAACAATGTCTTGCCACTATGACCTTGACTGGTGTACCTCTAAATCTTCTTAAAAGAAGTTTATTTTTGCAGTAGATGTTGATTCTTGCAAAGACCCATGACTGGTCAATAAGCAGAGTATAAGAGACTGCAGAATACTCAGCCATCAATGGGGCATCAATATCATACCCCATCCTCACAAAGATCTGGTATCATTGTTTACAGAAGGGGGAGGAGAAGATTGTAAAAGCAAGAGGTAATGGATGAATACAAGCACACATTGCTTTCCAGACACAGCAAGAAGCGTGCACATGTGAACTCACAGCAGTTGTGACAAACGCACAAGATCTGTGCAAGCTCAAACCAGACAAAATCCCAACATGGAGAAAGGAGGTATACACAAGGTCTCACTACTAGCTAAAGAGCTGTTGGAAATTGATAGCTGCTAGAAGATGGTTTCTTTAGGCGAGTGGCCCTAGGGAGGTCAACCATGCTCCCATGGATGACCACACATCCCAGAGTATATAGGTAGTACAAATCAAGCAGGTATGTCTAATATAATTATATTATTATCTCAAAAAAAAGAAAAGAAAGCATTTTTCAAAATGCTAGCTCAACAAAAAAGTGACTCAAAGTAGTATGGACAGCAGGAAAAAGGAGGGTAGATCTGGAAGAGAATTACAAAGAAGGGTAAATATGACCAAAACACAGTTTATGAAATTCTCAAAGAAGTAATGTTTACTCTAAGAATCAATTTGGTTATGAAAACTGAAAAGAAAACCAATATATACTAGAAATAGGTGATTAATAACCAAAACTAGGTAATATCTCCAGCTAAGGAGGAGGACAATAGTAAGCTGATGCTAACAAGATCAGAGATTAGAAATCTCAGATGACAAAAGGGCAAAATAAGGTTCCATTTCACTAATATCTCAGAATTACAAATCAAAGTCACAATAAGAATCTAGCCAACAGCTGTTAATAAAACGGCTCTTTGAAAGCATATGGGTATTAGAAAACATGTGAAGGAAAGCCAACCAACCCTCTCTTCTGTGAGAATGGTGTGTTGACAGCCATTGTAGGAAATACTATGTAGACTCTTCCTCAAATATTCATAAAACTAACTTGGGATACTTGTGAAATTTTAACTAGAAGACAAAAGGTTGTGACCTTAGAAAAATATCTGCACTACCAAATTCATTGTGACATTACTCGCAATTGCAAAGATATGAGAACAACCCAAATGTCTCTCAATAATAGATGAATGTTCAAAGGAAATATTTCTTTCTCTGTTTCCCCATGTTCTTCCTATTTAACAACACACACACACACACACACAC